AAACCTTGGGTCCTGGCATTCATGTGGATGTTACTCTGACACAGACCACCTACCTAAACATTGTTGCAGGCCAAGTACCCCCCCTTAATGGCGACAGTATTCCCTGATGGCAGTGGCCTCTTTCAGAAGGATAATGCTCCCTACCACCCTCTGTTCAGGAGTGGTTTGAGGAACATGGGAAAGAGTTCAAGGTGTTGACTTGGCCTCCAGATTCCCCAGATCGCAATCGAATCAAGTGACTGTAGGATGTGCTGGACAAACAAATGCGATCCATGGAAGCTCCACCTCACAACTTAGATAATTAAAGGATCTGCTGCTAACATCTTGGTGCCAGATACCACAGGAGACCTTCAGAGCTCCATGCTTTCAGGGCTCAGAGCTGTTTTGGTGGCTACACAATACTATGCAGGTGGTTTAGATGTTCTGGCTGATTGGTATATAATTAACATAATAAAACAGTTTATGTCTACTTTATATTTCAGTAGCGACAGCATTTCTGCTGTTGAACACATAGGTATTGCTATCCTTCACTCCCAGTCTTGGTTTAATTTGCTTATGCGAAATCACCAGACAACATGTTTATGAAAGGCAAATAGTTTCTCAGTTAAAAAAAGCTTTTGGAAAATTGGATTGCATAGAAACCAAGATGCATGTTCATTTGAAGCAGCTATGGATTTAAATTTATTATTTGTATCCAATTTGAATCCAATCCCACTATATATAAATGCCCCAATAGACTTTAATTATAGCAATATAGCACCAGGAAAAAGATTTTTATTTCTGTTTGTGTTCCTTAACCATTACTTTTTTATTGAGAGACTTGACTGCTTAATTCTTCCCGAAAGAAATGAACATTGTTCATTTTGCATTTCCTGTACCTCACTTGTAATGATCCCTGTATGTTAACACAAGGTGTTTATTCTTTTGCTTGGTGGGTAGGTGGCGTTGTTTTCAAAAGTATTTTTTCCCAAAAATGAGAGAAATTCTTTGGAAAAAGTTCTTGACAGCTCCCGTTGACCCGCTCCCACCTTACCTCCTCCACGGCTTGTCCCGGATCCCTTTTGCTATCCGTGTTTGTGACGTGATTGATAGCGGAAAACCAATTTCCTGTTTTTTTTTTTGGTGGGTGGGGTTGGGGATAAGACCCCTTTAGACATGCCCGCAGCTGCTTCCTCAGACGAAAAGCTCCCCATGAAGAATTCATGAGTTCGGCTACCAGGCTTGACAGTCTGGGTTCGAGAGCCGGAATGCCGCGATCCCATTGCAGAACAGGCTGCTCCGAAATCCGCGACCTGGCGGTACCTCATGTCAGACCGCTGCCGCGTGACTTACCGAAAACGGCGAGGCACGACGCATCTAAGAATGATTATCCCCTGTTCTGTATGTAATGTGTGATTAATTTTATTTCTAAATTAAAATAGTGGGTGTAATTACAGCTAAATGATTGATGAAAAGAGCGACCTTGCATAAACTGCTATTGTGATCACTCCCAGTCTGGAG